GTTTTTCAAGATCAAAAGCTGTTGTTCATGTCGTCTTCTCCAACTCCAGGCTAATCTGGCTGTTCTCACCCTATGGTAAGTCCTCACTTAATGTCAGTGAGAGGTTCTTGAAAGCACAGTGAACCGACATGTAACAAAACCAATTCTACCATAATCTAATTGATACAAACAAGAGTTAAGTTCCTACAGCATCTTCTCAATGTTATGATGAAACAATGTTATTCCAGGACCTGCTACAGTGTCTTTCCCACATGCTGCCTGGTAGGCCATGGCGGTCTATGAGGAAGCAACAAGGAAAGCTTGAAACCAAAGTAGTCAGCAAGAAGGGTCATTAGCCAAGAAAGAGGTGTGGAAACTATGTTTCATTACCCAAGAAGGACAGGAAACTACAGACAGAGCCCATTTCAGGTGTCCTGGGTGTGGTGTTTTGGCCCTTACTGAGAAGGCACTGCTCACTTAGCTCAAGTGAAAAAGAGTAGAATTCCCAGTGACCCCAAAAGTGCAGAGAATATGGACATGACGTATTGTGGGATGTGTTGGCACAGGGGTCCTGGGGTCGACTCAGACAACCGCAAAATGCTGGCCCTGAAAGGAGTCTTATAAAATATATAGTCAACCCTGGCTGGTGTGGCTCAATGGACTGAGCCACCAGCCTGTGGACCAAATGGTCGGCAGTTCGATTTCCAGTCAGGGCACATGCCTGGGTTTTGGGCCAGGTTCCCAGTAGGGGGCCTGTGAGAGGCAACTACACATTGATGTTTTTCTCTCTTTCTCCCTCCCTTCCCCTCTCTAAAAATAAATTAAAATTTTTTTAAATCTTAAAAAAAAAAAAAAAGACCCAAGCAGATATGAAGTTTGCATTAAGTGAAATAAAGGAAAATCCACAGGGAACCAACAGTGAAGGAGATGAAGCTGAGATTTAAATCAACAGTTTGGAACACAAGGAAGAAAAAACATTAAACCAGAACAGCAAGAAGAAAAAAGAATTTTAAAAAATAAGGATAGTATAAAGAGACTGAGACATTTCCAAACATGCCAACATCTGAATCACAGGGGTGCCAGAAGGAGAAGAGGAAGAGCAAGAAATTGAAAACGTATTTGAAAAAATAATGAAAAAGAAAACTTCCCTGATTTGGTGAAGGAAATAGACATACAAGGCCAGGAAGCCCAAACAAGTGGGACCCAAGGAGGACCACATCAAGACACATCACAATTAAAATGCCAAAGGTAAAGATAAAGAGAGAATCTTAAAAGCAGCAAGAAGAAAGCAGAGAGTTAAAGATAATTTAAAGGCAAGAAGGGACTGGCAAGAAGTATTCAAAGTGATGAAAAGCAAGGACCTACCACTCTGATTGCTCTATCCAGCAAAGCTATCATTCAGAATGGAAGGGTGATAAAGTGCTTCCCAGGCAAGGTAAAGCTAAGGGAGTTCATCATCACCAAGCCCTTATTATATGAAATGTTAAAGGGACTTACTTCAGAAAAAGATCAGAACTATGAACACTAAAATAGCAATAAATGCACAACTATCAACAACTGAATCTAAAAAACAAACTAAGCAAACAAGCAGAACAGGAACTGAATCATCGGTATGGAGACCATTTGGAGGGTTATCAGCTGGGAGGGGGAAGGGGGAGAATGGAGGAAAAGCTGCAGGAATTAAGTACATATTGGTAGGTTCAGAATAGACTGGGGGATATAGGAAATGTCCCCGTCTATTCTGTACAGTATGGGAAATGGAGAAGCTGAAGAACGTATATGCATGACCCATGGACATGAACTCAGGGGGAGGATCACAGGAGGGAGTGGGGGGGTAGCAGGTATAGGGGTACAAAGAGGAAAAAATTGGGACAACTGTAATAGCACAATCCATAAAATAGATTTTAAAAAACATACAGTTGAGTAGTTTCTGAAACAGACAAATCACAATAACCCAGAAAGCTTTTGTTAAACTAAAAAACTATGTGACAAACAAAGGGCACACTACAAAGTGTAAATAAATCTTGCTCCCATTCTAGGCCCCACTCCCGTTTCCCAAAAATAACACCCGTCTGTACTTTCTTATGTATCCTTCCAAAAATGTCACATACAACTACATCTACAGCCAAAAACTAGAACTACTAGCACCACTCTCTTAGACCTACTTTGTATCTTGCTTTTTCAAACACAATATAATACAGATATTTTCCAAATGTTGGGAATATTATAATCAGGATCCTTTGGTTGCAAGCAACAGGAACCGATCTGCTTAACTAGCGTAAAGGACTTTTAGAGGATGGATAAGGATTGAAGGGAAGTTTGAAAAAATACCAGGCTTGAGAAGAGGAACAAGAAAACTCCGGGAGGTCTTCCTCATAGATGGAAGTCCTTCAAAATCTTGTCCCAAACCTACATTTCTTCCATCATTTCTCCAGACTCAATACCAAAGGAGGAAAGTTCAGGGTCTCGTGGCCCTCCGACTGGGCAGGTGGGAAGACTGGAACAGATCTCCCAGAGATACTTTCAACTTATGTATGGAGGGCAAGCATATGGATTTGGTACCCCACTCCCACAAGCCTGTACGTGACGAAGGACAGACCAGTGCACAAGAAAGTGTTAGGAAATGGGAATGGATGTCAACAGGCCACAGAATGAAAAACATCTACCGCTGAGATTTTGGGACTTGAAGACCTACCTCACTGCAGATAGTTGCACGGCCTTCCACAACTTCATCATTCCCTAATGATGGACAACTGAAGCGGCCAAGAGAACAGAGGCCCGAGGACAAGATAAAAAGAGTAAGATTCTTGAGGCTGCAAATGCCCATGCCACTCTCATTCAGAACCTCACTTTGAAAAAGATAAAAACAAAAACCCATACTTCACCTACTGGTTGAGCATATGGCAAAAGCCGAGTAAACATGTTCAGTTAGTGAACAATTTTTGGTTGAAAGGGCTCCACCCCGCCCTGGCTGGTGTAGCTCAGTGGATTGAGCGTGGGCCTTCGAACCAAACAACTGCAGTTCAATTCCCAGTCAGGGCACATGCCTGGGTTGCAGGCCAGTTTCCAGTAACCACACATTGATGTTTCTCTCCCTCTCTCCTTCCCTTCCCTTCTAAAGATAAATAGAACCTTGTTAAAAAAAAAAAAAAACATGCCCTGGCTGGTGTATGTCAGTCGATTGAGCACGGGCCTGTGAACCAAAAGATCATGGTTCGATTCCCCATCAGGGCACATGCCTGGGTTGCAGGCCAGTTCCCAGCAGGGGCCAGTTCCCAGCAGGGGATGCACCAGAAGCAACCATACATTGATATTTCTCTCCTTCCCTTCCCTTCTAAAGATAAATAAAATTTTAAAAAGACAAAAAGAAAAAAGAAAGAAAGAAAGGACTCCTCTCCTTTTCTCTGACCAGTCTGGTAGAACAACGGCTTTGGCACAAAGTACTATGCTCCTGGCACCATCTGCTGGCATGGGAAACCTTTCCTGAATCCCAGTCTTTTCAGCCAGGGGTATTGTTGAAATCCCTGAAATGCCTCCTCTTCCGAGTATGTCAACATCACAGAACCTACATTATCTGTAGACAGGGGAAATTACAAAATACTGACTTATCTTCCTTGTTCACTGTCTAAGGGATGTCTTACACTTCAGTGACCCTCCTGGTTCTGGCTCTTTACAGAGACACGTGGTGAGGTTGGAGTGAGAGTAAGCCTCACATCAGTCTGTGACCTGGAAGACTGTATCGTCCTTGACATTTATTCAGCAGGTACTGAGATCAGAGCAGGGCACTATCCTTCTGGCTGCACTAGTTACATAACACATACCGGTATGATACCCCTGCCTGGGCCCGTTGTTCTGACAGGTGCTGTAGAAGATTCAGAGAACTAGAAGACAAGTTCCCTGCCTTCGGAGCATCCAATCTAATTGGGGGGGGGGGGGGGGGGGGGGGAATAAGCCAAACAGTACAGGATAAATTGTGGTAATATCTGTAGACTGTCATATAATACCATTACTTTAGACCCTTAGAATAAATACACTGTTGCAGAGACTTGGCAATGCCTAAACACATTTTTGTCAGAGCTGGCTTGGGGGTGCTACTGGCTTATAGTGGGTGGAGGTTTGGGATGCTGCTGAACATCCAACAGTGCACAGGACAGCCCCACGACAAAGAATTATCTGGCCCAAAATGCCGATCGTGCCAAGGTTAAGACACCTGTGCTTAGACCCTTAGGATCAGGGATGAACAAGGTAGGTATGGTCTCTGCCTTTCTAGTACTTGGGTAAGTGTGGGGGGGGGGGCAGGAATAGAAAAAATGTAATAATGTGCTGAGGGAATCCAGAGAAAGGGACTACCCGAAACTTGCTAGTCAAAATTTGGTCTATAGACCTGAAGCCCCCATCACTTCGAATCATGTTAAAAACGCCATCTTCTCGAACCGCCCACCCCCTCCTGAATAAAAACCTGCATTTTACAAGCGCCTCAGTGGCTCTTACGCACATTGATGCTCGACACGCGATGCTCTGGAGGTTTTCAGAAGACAGAATTTGAGTTATTTTTTGTTGTTTTATGAAAACCGAGAAAGAAGGAATCCTATTCCCGGTGGTAAGTGGGAATGTTCTAAGATGACAAGGAAGAATTTCTAGTTTTCGGCCGGCAGTGATATCTAACTGTTGACTGCTTACCGTCAGACTTTGCGCTAAGCGCTTTATGTGAAGTAGCTCATATAACCCTCGTGATGATTTTAGGTAAAATCCATTACTACGCGCATTTTAAGGATAGAGGAAACTAAGATACAGATGAAGGGCTCACTGATGGAGCTGGACAGGCAGAATCAAACCTGCATTTTACCACCCTAAGTCGTCCACAACACCTCCACCCACACTTGACAGCCAAAGCCGCAACCCCGTCTCCCGCCAGCTGCAGCGAGCGAGAAGACGTAGTCACTCGTAGGCTGCCGGTCTTCCCTTCCGCAGTCGCGCGGCTCAGCGGAAGGCGGAGAGTAGAGCCCACCCTCCACCGGATGTCGTGCATTGTGGGAAGCTTTTCACTGTTTACAGTCCAGCCGCCAGCGTGAGAATATAACTTAAAAGAGCCGGATGTTGAAGATTTGGGGGGCTCTAGAACACTTGGAAGCAGTGTGAAGAAAGGTTTCGCAACTCCCAACAGGAATCGGACTTAAGACCTCAGCCGTTCGCTGTTGCCAACGGGGCTCTTGTATCCGGGTCGCGAGGTAGAAGAGACGCCTCTATGGTCAAGTAAACATAGAGTGGTTCCTCTCGTCCCCACGTGGTCGAACTGCGCTTGCGCAGTAGGCGCGGCATTGCGAAGATGGCGGAGGAAGAGTGAGTATCTGGGGCTTTGTAACGCCAGCGTGGGTCTTTGAGCATCCAGTGCCATCCACGATATTTAATTTCTCGGTGTCGAAAAACAAGGATATTTGTGGGTTGAAGGAAGAGAATAGAAAGGGCTCCAGATTACAGAGCGTGGGGGGGGGTGAAGGGTAAGGACCTGTAGGGTTGGGGGGCGCGGGATGGACGGAGGGCGCTGTCGTCAAATTCGGGTTACGTAGTGGGTTGAAGTTTGACTTCCAGGGAGAGTGCTGGAGTTGTGTTCACCCAGCCTGACGTAGGTATTCCCGCTGCAGTTGGGTCTACACCCCCCCTTCCCTAACCCCCATCCCCAATTCCCACAGTGTTCACTAGGGTGTCGTTGTTACTATGGGTGTCAATGTTTGTAAAAGGTTGTGTCAGTAAAAACTGCATTGACATTATGACAAACAGTGGCTATAGGGTTCAAGAGAGTAATATTTCCTGAAGCCTAAAAAATGGTTTGGAAATTCACTGAAGATTCGTTTCCTAAATATTGTCACATTCTCAATTTTCTGTGTCAGGCAAAGAAAAAAGATCCCTTTGGTTCCAGAAAATCTCCTGAAAAAGAGGAAGGCTTATCAGGCCCTCAAAGCCACCCAGGCAAAGCAGGCACTTTTGGAAAAGAAGGAGGTAATGGTGGGGGACCAGGAGGATGGAATTAGAAATTATATTTGGTGATTTTTGTCTAGCTATATTTACTAGCCCTTCTCACCCACCCACCCGCATCGGTTTGGTACATGGTTCCATGTACAGGTACATGGTTCATGCCTTCATTTAGCAAATATTTACCAAACATTTTCTTTGGACAAAGTACTAGAGTAGTTTGTTAAGGGGAGTGGAGCCTGTGCCATTTTGCTTCATACCAGGTGATGTGAGAGATCAGATGTGTGTACCTGGAAGAAAACAGGTTTTTAGAAATGTGCCAGATTTGCTATTTGCCAAATGTTTTTGGATAAATATATATTTTGGAGTCAAGGAACAAAACAAACTCCTTCTTTTGTACTTCATGGTGCTTCAAGGTGGGGTTCCATAAACTTTTGTTCGTAAACTCTGCCTACCAGCCTGTGAACGAATATGTTTGTTTATCAGAGACTTTTCCCAATAGTTGCCACGTTTTCTCAACTACACCCTCACTTGGGTGTCTCACTTTTCCTCTGTGTAAGAATGAAGGAGTTTTTGGCCTGCCCTTTGCGGAACATGGGGGAAATGAGCTCTGTAACTAGACTGAGGAATTACTGTTGTGGAAGTGGAGACGATCAGAGACACAGTGTTGGTGATGGTCTGCCTTCTCTGTAGCAGAGGAAAGGAAAAGATATCCAGTTTAAGCGACTGGAATGGTTCCTCCACGATGCCTGGCGGCAGCAGCGTGACAAAGTACGCCTCCGACGCCTGGAAGTGAAACCTCATGGTTTGGAAGTGCCAGATAAACACTCCTTGGCCTTTGTTGTGCGCATCCAAAGGTAGGTGACTGGGGCAGGCGGTTGGTTAAGCTTTTGACCCTTTCCAAGAGGTCAAGATAATAGACCTTAAGCCACCAAGGCAGGTTGTGCTAGGAGTTCAGGGCTGAGCACAGCATAGGTTTTGTCTCAGAGGGTAAGGAGACTGATCTGAGGCAAATAGACATGAAAATACACTAAGTACTATGGGAGTCAAGTGCTAGAGTGGGGAGAGGGGCTGTATGTGTACTTACTTGTTGAGGACACTCTTCTCAAGCAGGACCTTTCAGCTGAGGCCTGCAAACAGGTAAGGAGTTCACCAGGGTCTGGGAAAGGCTCTTCAGCATGGATGCAAAAGGCCCTGACGTGGGGGAATCAAGGCTCTAGCAGCCGAACTGAAGTGCAGTGAGTAGAGCATATGCCGTGCCAAGGAGGGTGAAGTGAGGACTTTTTACACACTCAGTGGCATTTTCCTTGCCCGCTCCCACCTGCACATACTTCTGTGCCTCTTCCTGCTTCCCTGCCCAGTCACCCAGACCAGAAACCTGGAGTGCTAACCCCTTACCTCTGAGCCCTCCCTTCTCCCACTGTCCAGAGTCTTCCCCAGACCATCGCATTGTCTCTGGTGTCACACTCTCAGATCTGTCCTCTGTGCCCAAAAAGAAATCTGATCTTGCCTTCTTTACTTAAAATTTTCCAGAGCTTTCACTGCCCACAGAAGCAAATCCAGCTTCCTTAGCTTGGCATCCGCAGTCCTGCGTCCCCCAGTGGGACGCACCAAGGTTCAGGGATGACTTCTGCATTCCCACAGTAGCACCTCAGACATTGCTGCACGTTGTGTGGAAATGATCTGCTTATGTAGCTGCCTGCTGTTCGGCTGAACTCTATAAGGCACAGTGTGTCTGTCTCTCTGGATGTCTGGTCGTGGCCCGGGTTCCGTAGGTGCTTACCGGGCTGGCGTTAACAGAACAGAGCCTGACTTCCTCTGCTGTTCATTTCAGGGTTAATGGAGTGAGTTTAACGGTGCAGAGGACCATTGCAAGGCTTCGCCTGAAGAAGATTTTCAGTGGTGTCTTTTTCAGAGTGACCCCCCAAAGCATAAAAATGCTGCGCATAGTGGAACCTTATGTGACCTGGGGGTGAGTGAAGCTCTTTGTGACTGGGTTCCATTAGATTGTACTTGGGCGCGTGGAGAATGTTAAAATGCACAGGGCACTGGTCTCCCAGGCTCTCGTTGGATTGAAAGAACATTTTGGTGTGAGCACAGTCACCAGAAATGGTATGGCCAGCCATGAGAACCATGAAATGTGGGGCCGGAGATGCCAGTGCTGTTGGTAATGCGCTACACACAGGATTGGCAGGGCTCGTTCCTGTGTAGGCCGGGCTGAGTAAGAGGGAGAACTGGGAGCAGCGCTTGTGAAAGGGTAGTACTCCTTCAAATATTAAAACCTAATAAAGGCTTGGATTTCGTTTTAAATTTCTGTACCATCTTGAGTAGAGGATCGCCTAAGGCCAAAGTCCTAGACCGCTAGTTGCAAACACAAGGCCCAAGGGCCGAATCTGGCCCTCTACCTTGTCTTATCCGGCCCGGCACCTTGTTTCTACCTGCAGCAGCAGCGCCGAGCTCTCACTAAACCGTTAAGGGTAGTTGCATATATATGGTCCTAAAATTACTTTTGGCCCTTCGAAGGCAACCTCTAGGCTGATGTGGCCCCCCAGTGAAAATGAGTTTGATACCCCTGTCCTAGACTGTATAATACAAACCAGGACTTATTTTTGCTAGGGAAATAAAATTTTTGCCTGGTAACATTTATGTTTATAAATTCTAATTTCAAATTACACAGTCAGGGCCACTCTGGTTTTTTACCTTCTTCTTAACTGTTCTCTAGCATCCCAGCTGCAGTGTGATTGCAGGACACTTCACGTGAAGGGAATGGCTAGTTGGGAAGATCTTTCCTCAGCCAGGCTGCAGGACTGAGTGACCAGTGTAATGCAGTGGGCCAGGGGATAGCTAAGGCTGTGCTTTTTTCTGCCTTGAATAGATTTCCAAATCTGAAGTCTGTCCGGGAACTCATCTTGAAACGTGGACAAGCCAAGGTCAGGAATAAAGTCATCCCTTTAACAGACAACACAGTGATTGAGGAGCACCTGGGTAAGTGTTGCATCTTAGGGGTCAGTTTTGGCAAAAAGCAAGGATCTTTGATGGTGCTGGTGTGGGGTCCAGGTTATATTTCTTCCTTCCTTTTTTTTCAAGATTTTATTTCTTTTTAGAGGGTGGGCGAGGGAGAGAGGAAGAGGGAGAGAAACATCAATGTATGAGAGATGCATCAGTTGCCTCTCACACACACAACCTCAAACTGGGGACCTAGCCCACAACCCAGGCATGTGTCCTGACTGGGAATTGAACGGGCAGCCTTTTGGTTCACAGGCTGGCAGTCGATCCACTGAGCCATACCAGCTAGCACCAGGTTATATTCTTGAGGTCCCAAGAATCTGCCAGAGTGCCCAGCTCTGACATAGGAGAGCCTCCCAGTATGTCTTGGGGAAATGTTGAATAAAGGAAACCACCCTTCTGTTTCTTAGGGAAGTTTGGTGTCATTTGCTTGGAAGACCTCATTCACGAAATTGCCTTCCCGGGGAAGAACTTCCAGGCAATCTCAGGGTTCTTATGCCCTTTCCAGCTCTCAGTGGCTCGTCATGCCACCAAGAATAGAGTAGGCTTCCTCAAGGAAATGGGCTTACCTGGCTATCGAGGCGAACGCATCAATCAGCTAATCCGACAGCTGAACTAAACCCAGGTGAGGCGGGGCTGCAGACTACCCTCGAGCTGACTTTATGGGCCATCTTTTCACTTAAAAGTTATTTTTGGACTTACAAGTGTTTGAGAGGAACTGCGGCACTAGGGGGAGAGAGGAGGAGGGTATTTACAAGTCTCATGGAGGGAGACATGCTTAAAGGGTGAATGCCTGGTTAAGACATGGTTGTGTGTATCCCAAGAATTACAGGATACAAAATACTGAGTAACAAAAAAGATGTCTGTATTGGGGAGCAGGTAATATTACAATGAACTTTTTAAAGGATTTGAAGTCTAAACAATATTTATTTGTGGAAGGAAACGTAACTCTCTGAAATTGGCCTTTATTGTGATTACTACTATTAGGTGCCAAGTCACAGTTAATTTGTATTAACAAAATTATGTTTTTCTTCCTCCCAGAATATCTGAAAGCACAATGCCTTGGAAGCGTGTGTTTTTGGTTTTTGGAATTACCAGTATCTTCAAAGAAGATTATTTTCTGCAGTAACTTCAGAAACTGGAGGGGAGGAGTCAGGGAAAAGATGGTGGTGTTCCTAGCAGACACTTCTTATCACAGCCCCGATCCAAAGGAAAAGTCCAGAGTGTTTTGCATGTTCGCCACTGCCACCACCTTGATGTCAGCAAAGGATTCATGCCATGCAAGAGGGGTCCTGCTTTGTCCTGTTTTCTCTCCAGGGGCTTTATGTTGATGAATAGATACCCAAGCATGAATGCCAAGCCCAGAGCCATACTTGAACCTGGGGCTTCCTAAGGCTTTGTTTTGCAAAGAACTTGAAATACATTTAGAAGAGCACAAAACAGTGCTCAGTTGTGTCTGTCGGGAGTCTGTGTTCCAACTTTTCTGTTACAGTTTTGCGAGCGCTCAAGCTTGGCTCCTGTGAATGTACCTGGTGGCTTCCTTACCATAGCTCGGGATTTTAGACTTCTTTGATCCATAAGAACAACCATTTACCCAGGAAAACGTGCATACACTCCAGTTTTTGCTTGGAAGTTTAGGGTATTCATAAACTTCTCAAAGACCCACGGATCCACCTTATATCAGAGTCCTGCACCGTCAGGATTGGTCACCCAGGCCCTGGCCTTGCTCATCTGGTTCCACGTCCTGTGGAAGACCAGAGCTGCTGCCCTTCAAGCTAATGGGTGTTTCCTGTTAACACAGTGTTAGAGTGTAAGCCCCTGTACCATCTTTAACTCTGGGAGTTGCCCGCCTTTCATTTCTGCTGTGCTTTAGGGTGGTGGTGTCTCGTTTCCCTGATTAGCCCTTAAAAACCTAAATCATAGGGGTGGGGTTGGGGGTGGAAGAGGGTATAGGAATAAACAGTAATGGAAAAATAAAAGTAAGGGAAAGTTTGGGAATAAATATATATTTTTGACAATCATGTTTGCATTTTACACAGTTTATTTTGGCATTTTATGTCAGGAGGCAATTCAATAAAATAGCCTAAAAAACACATCATGAAAGAATGAACAATTTTCCTGGTTTGGCATGAATGAAGTCAGACTGGTCTTTTAAGCCCTGGTCAAGCTTGTTTACCCCCTTTCCGTGCATACCCTGGACTCCAAGCCCCTCCAGAACTCGTTCTGGTCATGGTGTAGACCAGCACTAGAACACTAGGGCTTCTGGGGAATGGGGTCTGTGCTATCACTGCCCACCCCTGAGTCTTTCCTCTGCCCTGTCAGCCTCCAACCTGCCAAGTAAGCAGTTGGTGAAGGTGTGCCAGGCCAGGTTAAAGACCCTAGAACTGGTGTAGCCATTGTGTTGTCTGGTCCATTAAGATCAGCTTTGGAGGAACAAGTATGAAAGACACAGAGATGAGGACTTGGGGGGGGTGGAAATGGGAGGGAGGGGGGAGACCAGGCAGGGGGGTGCGGTGGGATGGGAGAAATAGATTAAAAAAAAAAAAAAGTACTTGAAAAGTAACTAAATAAAATTTAATATTAAAGAAAAAAAAAGATCAGCTTTGGAGCAGTTTTGGTCCACGGGGTCCTCAAACATCTGTGAGACTGAGCAGTACAACAATGCTTTAAAATGTGCCAGGTTGTTAGGTAATTAATTGGGTTGGTTGGCTCAGGAGTTAATCTGCCTCAAGTGGATGTTACTCTTAACTGTAAAGCGTTGTGCAGTCAGATGAAAGTGATGTAGCAAAAGGTCATGGGCAGAGAGCAGTCGTGTGGAAGCGGAGTTTATATCCCAGATTTTATACTAAATGTGGGAATAATGTTTCTACTAGCCAGTACAGTGGGGATAGTATAGTTTGGCCCATCTTCACATGGTTGTTAAAAGGATTAAGAATAATAATAGTTTTAACTTAGAAATATATGTAAGAGGTTATAAAAAGTTTGCATTTCTCTGTGGTGTAACATGGTGTACCATTCCCTGAGCAAATGGGACTATATTTCTGGGAAAAGTGAAGGAAGAGTCTGCAGGGAGCCACAAGGCCCACTATCTTACCCACCTGGTCTCAGAGCCAAGGGTTCTAGAGTTTTTGCTGATCGGCTATTCTGTAATGTTTTGGGATTTCATTTGTTGGGTGTATTTTTTAAGCCATTCTGGAGAATGGCTGTCTAAAACCAAAATGCCACTTGAATCACAAATTCACTTCCACAACTACCAGAATAAGATGAAGCATGAGATAAATACATTCTCAGTATTTCTAAGAAGTTGTTTCCAGTGGGTGAGACCCCAATGTGTCCTAAGTTGCATTTTTTAAATGAAAACAAAACTACATTGCAGATAGCATGAGCTTTGTTTCGATTGCATTTAATGGCTGAAACAGGATTTTTAAACATTTTAATGAGTATCATGGTACGCAAATACGAATGCAGAAAACGCCGGTGGCACTCCCAAGAAGCTCTTAAGTCCGTCTGAGACGGCAAAAGCACAAAAGATGAGTAACTGGTCAGTACTCAGACTTCAGTACGAGTTTATGCGGGGCAGTCACACCCTCTGGACCTCAGAGCTGCAAAGGATCTCGAGCCTCGAGAACCGACTGCTTGACATTTAAGAAGTCTCAGTCATCGCGGGCGTGGAGCCAGCTCCTCCCGAGACTTCCTCTCTCCAAACCTGGGGGTCAGCGGTGCCTGTGGCCCTAGTCAAGGGCGGCTGCTCCGGGTTCTCGGCCGAGCCTGCGGCCTCCCAGGGCTTGGGCCTCCGCGGGAGCTGGGACGCCGTGGGTTCGCCGTGGGTCACTGCGATGTGGCGCCTTTCAAGGCCTGGGAGTTCCTGGCCCTGCTGGACCAGCTGCAGAAGCTGCGCCAGGGTCACCGATGCTGCGCCTGGCTCTGTGGGCCTGAGAGCTCGGCCTGACCAGCTGGGACTGGCTGACCGCTCCATGTTGGGGAGCGCAGGTGATTGGCGTGCGGGAGGCAAACATTTCCGGGAAGCGTGGATGCAACCACCATGGGAGGGGGTCACAGGCCATACCAAGCTGGCCCAGATAGGGGAGCAACTAAGAACCATGACTGGCTCTGTGCAGAGACACTTGACATACACAGAGTTAAGCCACCCAGGAGCCTCCAACGTGAAAGGCTTAAGAGGAAACTGGAAGCCTTGCACAGGACCGAACGTGCATGTGGACAGACTGATGCAGGTCAAAAGACCAACGTTTGCTTGCGTTCTTACTTTCAGGCACACACGGAAGTGTGCATGCACATGAACAACAAGGTAGACACCAGGTGAGGGATAGTCTCCATCTCTGTCTACTTAGCACCCGACAGAAAGTAGCCGCGGAGCCATCTCCAGGGGCCTGCCTCAAAAGAACGGGGAACGAGCGACACCACTGCGGAGCCAGCCCACTCGCCTCACATTTCCTGCAGGCAGTGTTCATTCCGCCCTGACTAGGGTGCCCCAGCTGGCTGGGCAAAGCAAAGGGTCGCCGCTTGATTCCGGGTCTGGGCACAGGACTGGGTTGCGGTTGGTCCCTGGTCGGAGCACGTGCGGGAAGCAATCAATCCATGTTTCTCTCCCTCTCTTTTTCTCTCCCTTTCCCAAATAAAGAAAATTTTTGTTTTTAAGTTTTCCTTTTTTTTTTTTAAAAGACTCATTTCCAAAGAGAATGAGAAAAGATGAAGCCAGACCAGGTGTGCTGCTGTCAGTGCCAATAATTCTCCGGTGTCTATGTTTATTGAAAGCTAGCCTGATCCAGCCTTAATAACTAATCAAAGTTTAATTACTGTTAATAGGACAGACTAGCACCATGTGTCACCTGTTATGCACTGAGAAGGACACTACAGGTGAGAACACTACATCTCTTCTGTTGAATTCCTGCCAAAATGTTCACCCTGAATCGAATCCTGAGGAAATGAACAAACAGATGGAAGGAAGAGTCATCCTGCAGAAGGACTGGCCCGGACACTTTATAAATGTTAGTGTCATGCGAGATTATTCTGGATCATCTGGATGGGCAAATACCATTACACTGGTTCCTAGAAGAAGGACAAAGGAGGCTAGTCAGAGAAGCAGATGCGAAGGTGGAAAGGAGTCGGAGGGACTGAAGACACAGGCTGCTGGCTTTGAAGACGGAGGAAGCAGCCACAAACCAGGGAATACGAGAAGCCTCTAGAAGGCGAGGAAACAGAAGGAATTCAGCCCTGACAGGAACTTCATTTTATCCCAGTGAAACCCATTTCAGACTTCTGACCGCCATATTGTGAGATGACAAACGTGTAGGGTTTTTTATGTGAATATCATTAAAAGGAAAGAAAAAAGAAAAGACTGAGGAACTGTCAGAGACAGGGAAAGTGCAAAGTGTGATTCTGGATTGGATCCAAGGTGGGGGGGCGGGAATCAGTTATAAAGGACCTTTTACCCTTGGGAAAATTTGAATGTAATTCTGTATACTCGATGATAGTGTTGCAGTGGGTCCCACCTCATCTGCAGACTACATTCCAAGACCTCTGGTGGATTCATGAAAGCATAGGGACCTCTACTATGAATGCTACATATACTATGTTTAACCTCATACCTACGTACATACCTATGATAAAGTTTAATTTATAAGTTAGTCACAGTAAGAGAGTAACAATAATAACTCATAATAGAACAATTATAACAATATGCTGTAATAAAAGTTACGTGAATGTGGTCCCTCTTTATCTGAGAACCCAGCTCATAACTGAGCAGGGTACTAGGTGACTCCCAGCCAGGGAGCACACACAGTGTGGAGACGCTGGACCAAGGGACAGTTCATGTCCTGGGTGGAAGGGCTCGAGATGGCCCAAGATTTTATCACAGCTACTGCTTGTGATTTAATACTTATGGAAAATTTAGGAAAATTTCCATTTCATATTTTCTGACCACAGTTGACCTTCAGCAACTGAAACCATAGAAAATGAATAAAGGGGAGGTCTACTGTATATAGATGCTGAATTTATTCTTTTTATTGATTGATTTTAGAGAGAGAGAAATCAACTTTGTTGTTCTATTTATGCACTCGTTGGTTGATTCTTGTATGTGCTGTGCGGTGGGGATTGAACCTGCAACCTTGGGTACTGGGGACAATGCTCTAACCAAAAGAGCCACCCAGCCGGGGCAATGCTAAAGGGATTGAGTGCAACAATTGTGCTTTAGTTATGTAGAAGGATGACTTTGTTCATACATGATACATGTTGGGTTATTTAAGGTTGAAGTGTCCTGATGAGACAGAGAGAGTGAGAGAAAATGATGGTAAATTGCTAAGAATTAGTGTATCTAAGTGGTTTGAAGCTGGTCAAAATAAAAAAGCTGGGGGGGGGCAGGGCTTCAGAAGCCAGTTTGGAGGAGACTGACCACACTCAGCAAAAGCTTTGACTGGCCTTTGTCCCTCGTTCCTGGGAGGAAGACTAACTCCTTGGAATTTCCCAAGCATTAGGAGTGATATTTATGGTGGGCCCTGATATTTTAAGCCATTGAAGTGGTTCATGGTGACCTCTGAGTAGTTGCAGTCCTGCCATTGGCTGTGCCAGAAAAACCAGCCATGTGATTAGAGGGTTGGGGCTTTGAGCCATGTGAAGTCTGGGAGGAAGAGAGGGGGCCTGGAGATTGAGTTCAGTCTCCAGCCACTAATTTAGTCAGCCGTGCCTACGTAATGAAACCCCAATAACAACTCTGAACACAAAGCTCAGTGGAGCTTCCTAATTGGTGATCACACTGATGTGTCAGGAAGGTGACGTGTCCTGATTCCATGAGGAGAGGGCACGGAAGTTGTGCGTTCAGGACCCTCGCAGACCTTGCTTCACACACCTCTTCATTTGTCTCGTCCTGCTGACTTAACGTCCTCTCTAATAAAATTAATCATAAGAATGACACTTTCCTGAATTCTGTGAGTTGTCCTAGTGAATTATTGAATCTTAAGAAGGTTGTGGGATCCCTCAAATTTTTACTCAGTCGATCAGAATTGCCTGTGGCCTGGGGACCCCTCTGAACTTGCAGTTGGCATCCGAAGTAAGCGCAGTCTTGTTGGGGACCACGCCCTTTACCTTGTGGGGTCTGTGCTAGCTCTAGGTGGTTAGCGCTAGAATTCAAGTGCAGTACACCAATGGGGGGTTTTAAAAGAACACTGAATGAGGAACTCATCCTTCTCTCTGTGGCCTGCATCGGTTTCCTGGGCAACCTCCTGCAGCTCTTGCCCTAAGAAGGTTCACTTCTTAGATGTCCTCGGGGCGGAGGTCTGGTGTTCTGTGCCACCACACCTTCTTTCTACCAGCCGAGTACAAGATGAAAACATGTCTGTGAGGTCAAAATCAACCATGGAGTCCTGGCCGGGTAGCTCAGTCGGTTTGAGCATCATCGCCATACTCCAAGGTTGCAGGGTTTGATCTCTGGTCAGGGCACCTGAGAGGATCAGGCAATGAATGCATAAATATAAGTGGAACAACAAATCAATGTTTCTCTCTCCATCTCCAATAAATAAAAAAAAATTTAAAGGGCCCTGGCTAGCCCTGGCTGGTGTAGCTCAATGGACTGAGTGTGGGCCTGTGACCACTTGATCACGGTTCAATTCCCAGTCAAGGCACATGCCTGGGTTGCAGGCCAGTTCCCAACAGGGGACACACAAGAGGCAGCCATACATTGATATTTCTCTCCCTCTCTCCTTCCCTTACTCTCTAAAGATAAATAAATAAAATCTTAAAAAAAAAAAAAAAAAAAGGGCCCTGGCTAGTGTGGCTCAGTGGATTGAGTGCCCACCTGAATCCAAGTGTGGCTGGTTCGATTCCCAATCAGGGCACAGGCCTGGGTTGCAGGGCCGATCCTTCCCCAGTAGTGGGTGCGTGAAAGATGACCACACATGGATGTCTCTCTCCCCTCTCCCTCTCTCCCCCTCCTTCCCTTTTCTAAAAATAAATAAATAAAATGGTTTTTTTTAATGTAGGAAAAAAAAGAAAGAAAGAAAGAAAGAAAGAAAGAAAGAAAGAAAGAAAGAAAGAAAGAAAGAAAGAAAGAAAGAAAGAAAGAAAAAGAAAGAAACCACCCTTGGAGACTGATCATTGCCAGAGGGGGTGGGGGTTGGGGGGCCGGGTGACAAAGGTAGTTACAGAATCGTCACGGGAACGTGGAGCACAGCGCAGGGAATACAGTCAATAATATTGTAATGACTATGGATGGTGCCAGGTGGGGACTAGAAATACCAGGGGCAACGGTTTGTAAGTATCTGGTTGTCTAACCACTATGCTGTACACCTGAACCTAGTACAAAAGAATATTGAATGTCAACTGTAACTGAAAATAAAATTTTTCAAAAACGACCCTGTGACAACAACCTTAAAAAATACAGTGCCTGTCCTCCCAGGCCCTGTAATGACCAAACTTCCTCCGAATTAGGAACAGTGATGTGTATGTGCTTGCGAAGTGGGGAGTTGTCTTGGCATCGCTTCTTCTTCTCTCACATTCTCCCCTTGTATCCTCAGCACAATGCCATCGGGCGGGCGGGATAAGCCTAGGAATCAGGGGGTTGTCAAAAGGGACCTCAGACCCAACCGAGCTCAGCCTTCTGATACACAGAGCAGGAAACTGAGCACATGAAAGGGAGTAACAGAGCTCCTGACTCAGTCCCGCGGTTTCTCCCTATCCCAGGCTGCCTCTCCTCCATCCTCTGCCCTGCAGGGGCCCCTCCCCTGCGGGCAGCCACTCTGAGTTTGAGCGCTGCCATAGATGTGCATACCGAAGGCAAGGAGGCAAAAGAAAGATAACCAAAGAGGCCCGCAGGCGGGGAGGTGGAAGACGTTTCCCACCCTGGCGTATCCGCAGCCTCTCCAGGTGTCAGGTGGGACCCCAAGGCCAAGAAGTCATTTTGGCAGGGGTGGAAAGGCCAGGTATCAAGTCTAATGTTAAAGACAGGATCCAAACCCTCCAAGCTCATTTATAACTCACTAGACATCTTTCATCCATGATTTTTACATATTTTTTAAGGATTTTGTTTATTTATTTTTAGAGAAAGGGGAAGGGAGGGAGAGAAAAACACCCACCACTTGCCTCTTGCAGTCCCGACCAGGCCCGCAACTCAGGCACTCGCCCTGAAGGGAACCAAACCGGCGACCTGCAGGTTCACAGGCAGGCCCTCCATCCTCTGAGCCACACCACCCAGGGCTCATCCGTGATTTTTAAAAGTCTGTCTCAGCAGCAAATGCCCTTCCCTCCCTCACTTATTGAAACCCACTTAATCCTTCGAAGGCTTCCCCTCAATGGACCCACCCCTTTGACGTCACCATCAGAGTTAAGTGGTCCTTTTGCTGCACTCCCACGATCCCTCGCTCGCCTCACCATCTGCACATTGCGTGTAGATTAGACCAAGGGTCTTGCTCACCCAGTGTCCCTGTGTGCCTAGACTAAAGCCTCAGAGACCTGGTGGTGCTCAGAAAACATTAGCTACGTGACTGACTGACTTAAAGAGGAAAGGTCGAGTTCGACTCCACGTAAGCACCAGTGGGGAGCCCACGTTATGCTGCCCACAGTGCCAGATGCTTGGTGCGCAGATCCCTGTCCTCGAGGACCTCACACCCATCCCAGGGAAATGTCACAGGGGTAAGCACTGCAGTAGTTATGATGTGATCAAATGATATAGGTAAATCATAAAGCTTACTACATAAATAATATACTGTGGTGCCCAGTGTGGTTATGTGCTAACTGAAATAAGCAGCCTACACATTATACTGGTATGTATATATGTATGTATCTATACCAGAAAGTTTATTTAGAAAGTCACAAAGATAAGTCCTGGCTGGGTAGCTCAGTTGGTTAGAGTATCATCCCAGTGCACCAAGGTTGTGGGTTCGATCCCCAGTCAGGGCACATGCAAGAATCAACCAATGAATGCACAAACAAGTGGGACAACAAATCTATGTTTTTCTCTCTCTCTTGAAAATCTATAAATAAAAGCTGTTTTTTAAAGAAGAAAGTAACAGAGGTAGAAGTGAGCTGTGGAAGAAATGAGCTCAGGAGACAAGTTACAGAGACAAAAGAAGGGCCCTTGGAGAGAGAGAGAGAAGGAAAATGCACCTGGGGGGGAGGGGGAGGGGAAAGGTGCGGGCGGGCTCCTTAGAGAGAGCCTCTTTATTGTTATGGGCCCCCTTCCGTGCTCACAGCCACACGTAAGGAGGCTGGGAAATAGCTCGAGGCTGCAATTTACTCTGGCATGAGTACCTGTGATAGGCCCACAGAGAAGGGCCCACCACGAATCCATTCTGTATACTGCTTTTAAAATGTATTTGATCTCAGCACACGGGTGCGAGCTGCCCTTATGGTCTGTCTACTTGTCAGCCGGCAGGGCTGGCCCGAGCCTGACCCTGGAGCCCAGGTCCCAATCCCACCTCTGGCTCTTAAGAGCTGCAGGACGGTGGAGCGAGTTAATTCACTTACCTGCACTTGACTTCCTGTCTGTAAAATGAGTGGTGACGGTGCCCACCTCGTAGGGCCGTCCAACAGATTAGATGGGAAAATGAGAGACGTCCATGCGGCAGTCATCAGCATTCTCATCCCATGACTGTGGATGCTGGTTCTCTTCCGTTGGCCCCTCCGGGTCCTCTCCGTGCCCTCGTCCACCAGCCTCCTGGACAGTGGCATCTACAGACCCCTTCTACGGGCTCCCTCACCTCTGACTTTTGGCTTTGGACAATGCGGGGCCAGCAGAAGAAAGGAGGCAAAGGAGGTCAGGGCATTTACTCCTCAGTCCTCCTCTCTACAGAACCTCTGCTGGCTTCAGGGTCCCCCACACGGCTGCTTGCCATGGTCCCCTCCCCTCACTCCGCCAGGCCTGTCTGTTGCTGGTCCCAGGCACTACATTGTCCCTTGGGATTTCCCTTCATGCTGCCACACCTCTGGAAATCGTCCTTTTCTGAAAATCTGCTCCAATCACCCAATAAGCCTGCCCATACTCACCAATATAGGAACGGGTTCCGGAAACAGCCTCAAACAGGATACCGGGATCGGATGGATCATAACTTCAAGAAGCACAGGGGAAGCCTGCTTACAGAGGGGAAACGCGCCCAGGTATCGCACTGCATGCAGAGGCCTCACCATCGCTCGAGTCTTCATTGAGGGTGGGTGGGACGAACACGGGGTACCGCATTGTTGGGTGGGGCGATGGGAGATGAAGTGGCTGGGGCTCTTCTTCACTGAGGCATGGAATCACCTGGCTTTTGAGGGCCACAGGGGACACATGCAGGGGAAAGGAGAAGAGGAAGTTATCGATGTCTGACGGAAAATGTGAGTGAGCAATCGGGACAGCTTGATGGCACCTTGAAAAAGTCCCTCATCTCCTATAGGCAGAGAGGGCTCACATGACTGAGGTCTGGCCCAGGATGTCATCGTAAGGGATGCCAAGTTGCAGTGCTAATTAAATGCTCGACCCTCTAGGTCTCTTATGCTAAGATAAGGGCATTGATGCTGAATGGGTGGGACACTGAGGTGGGATGGGGACATTTGGGCAGACATGGTTGAAACTGAGAACCTTAAACCCCCAAATTCTCTTGAAATGGTCTTGTCTATGGAGAAACGTCCTGTGTAGTGCTCCTGTCTCCCAGGGCATCAGCCTCAGAACCCTTCCGGCCTTGACCCCAGGCCCTTGGTGAGTTAGATCCAACACAGCCTGGGTGGGGAAGCACAGGGCCCACGTGAAGAGGTGAATGCCCAGGCAGAAAGAGTTACAGGCCTTGCCAAACTGCCTTGGCAGGAGCCATGGGAACATGTGTGGGAAAAAGACCCAGGAGAGTGGAATGTAAGGCTCAGCTTGGCCAAACTCATGGTCATGGATGCTCCTCCAGGATTTGGAATTTAATGCATTGGCTTCAGCACATGGCAGAGGCATTAATAGTCTGCTGGGCTGGTTAATTAAGCCTGAACTGAATGGTGGTCTATAGATAATAAACTGGAAATGCCAGAATTTCCCTGGCATGCTATAGAGGAAGGAATCTGAAATCTCAAAGCAATAGGAATGCTGGATTGGATTCACACCTTGTAACTGGCTTAGCCACCTCTAGCTGCACAGTTTAGGGGGGTCAGGAAAACACTCTCTTTGACAAAACATTAAGAAATGCATTGGTGAGGGACCCCAGCATTCTTGACTTGCTCTGATGGCTGTCCTCCGTAGGCTGGAAATGCAAGTGGGGTGCTGGAAGGAGCACTGGCACTGGATTCCCTGAGCGCAGTGAGAGTAATGGCATCCTGCGGATGTAAAGGGCAGGTGGTGATCTTCACCAGCCAAAGGCAGGGAAACAACGAAGACCCACAATAAAACACGGTCATTGAAAGAACAGTCATCAGGTAGACAAGACGACAGTTCTGTTGACCATGATCAGCCTCTTTCCTCAGATGCTCTAGGGCTTGTTTTGTCAATCTATGATGGCAGGATGGAAGCCAGCCTTTGTCTCAGTGATACAGTCCCCCTCCCCTCTCTAAGGCTAATCTGGCTGTGGCCAGTGCTGGCTGTCCTTCCTACTTACCGCCCAATGCTGACTCTTCAACTGGGCATCATTCACACCTGGCTGTAGATGGATTTGACTGGGGCTATGCTTGAGTCTCACAAGAACAGACACGTTCCAGGCATGAAGTCACCTCTGCCTGCTTTCCTTCCGTCAGCACCACATTCGTGGATTACAGAACACCTTATCCATCACCACGCCTGGCATCTCCTCCAACCAGGGCTTATGTTTTATACCCAAGGAAATGGACAAATGAGCTCATGCCCAGAGAATTTACAGGTCTTACCATGTGCCCCATGACCAGAAGCAGCTGACTTGATAGAGTAGTGGATTAACCAGCCAAAGGCTCACGGAGACCCAAGTTGAGAAACTACATTCTGCAAGGTGAAGGTGCCATCCTACAGGATTCAAGGTATTCTTTAAACCAAAACCAGAAGCAAAATCATATACAGCCGAAACGTTAGTATAGCAGCATCCTCACTATTATTTCAAAAATCTTTTTTTTTTGAGACAGAGACACATGGATTTGTCGTTCCACTTATTCATGCATTCATTTGTTGCTTCTTGTGTGTGCCCTGGATGGGGACTGAACCTGCAGTGCTCTAACCAACTGAGCTACCCAGCCAGAGCCCCAAAGTCTGTAATTTTTGCTACCCATTCCATAACCTTGGACTTAGTGAGTCCGGGAGAAACATTTTCTCCACAGAACAATCATACTACTGATGGCTTGGAAACTGAGACAGCCCCTGACCTTTTTCAATTCTCATACTACCAAACCAGCAGGCAGAGAAAGGGGGTCTGGTTTGATTGATCCCAAATACCAGAGAAAGTAGGTTGCTGTGGCGGAATAGAGGTTGGCACTAGATCTGGAACCCAGGGGGTTGGCAGAAGGGCCAATAATAATCCTCCGCCCAGTAGTCCTGGTTAACAGAAAACCTCAGCAAACCCAACAAAGCCAAGACCCTCAAGAGTTTAGACCCTGTAGGAATAAAGGTCTGAGTCACCTTCCAGGGAAAGAACCCTGTCCAGCCATCCGACAGCATCCTTGGGGGTGAAAGCAGGTGGCTGTGGTTATAAATTCTGACCTCATGACCCCAACTGAACCCTGCTAAATTCTGTGAAGAACTCATGGTAGCTAACATTTTGTAGGTTTTGGGAGTCGTATTGCCAAATTGACAGTCCCTCCCAGTGATATATCAATAGTAGCTGATGGGACACAGCGAGTCCTCTGTGCTGGGGACAGGGATTTTTTTAAAATCTGAACCACTGATAAGAGGAACTCCCCTGACCCTCTGGATACACCCGCCTCCACCCCCGCCCCAGGCCCTGTGCGCCGGTATCAAAGGACACACCCGCCGCTGGGATTCAGCCAGTGGGGACTCCGTTCACCTAACCTAGTTTTTCTGAGCTTCTGTTTCCTTGACTGCAAAACAGGGATGAAAATACCCTGATGAGGGGGTGGCTGTGAGGATTGAGTGAGATGTCTGTGAACACAGCCTCGCTCTTAGCGGCCAGTGGTCAAGTGGCAAGTTCAGTCCCAAGAGAGGGGCACGGCGAAGGGATCCAGCTCCAGGATCTGACGCCAGCTGTCCGGGCATCCGCCCCCTGCCCTAAGGAAGGGCATCTTTAGGACCAGCTGGGGGTCCTGGAAGGAGGGAACCTGTGTGAGAACAAAGAACGCTTCCAGCCAGACCTCTGGCCAGAAAGCTGGAGTGGGCCATTGCAAGGGTAGCTTTAGTGGCGAAAGGCGGCCCAAGTGACCACGGGGGTCTCTACCTTCCTCTCCTTGGGGAGATCTTGAAGCCAAAAGAGGCCAGCAGGCTCCTCCCCATCTGTAGTGTGGTAAGGGAGCTGGGCCAAGACCTCCCCAGGCTGGAGGGTGGGAGAGTCGTTAGGGACACCTGCCTGCCTCCCTCCCTCCCTCCCTCCCTCCCCCTCCCAGCAGGAACCCACACCTGGGCCAGGCAGAGCCTGGGAACACATGGCGCCCCAGGCTTCCAGGCTGCCCTGCGGGGGAAGGGGCGGGAGGGAAGCCCTGGCTGGAGGGGTTCCCTCAGGACATCCAAGAGTGTAATCGATGTGATTATTAAAACTAAATCATGGGAGATTATTTTTTTTTAATTTATTTATCTTTAGAAGGGAAGGGAAGGAGAGAAACATCAATGTATGGTTGCTTCTGGTGCATCCCCTGCTGGGAACTGGCCCCTGCTGGGAGCTGGCCTGCAACCCAGGCATGTGCCCTGACAGGGAATCGAACCGCGATTTTTTGGTTCGAGGGCCCGTGCTCAATCCACTGAGCTACACCAGCCAGGGCTCATGGGAGATTATTAAAAGAATCAAAAGAAAATTGAGTGAGGCTAGCATCAGAATAAAGAAATCGGAGCCAAAACGACGTGAACCTGCCCATGTAAAAGACATTAACATGTAATAAAAACGTTTCCCAAATGATGGGGACAGGAAGGATTTTTCAGTTAATAATCCTGGGATAATTGGTTAGCGCTTTGGGGAAAAATTTCAGATGCACATTTTTCATACACCAAAATTAATTCCTGATGGCATTAAATCGGGGTTATCACGAGCAGGGATTAAACGAGACACACACACAAAAAAGACAACGGAAGCGAGTCTACTATGGTTCTGTAAAGGGGGGATGTTTGCCAGGCTTCAAAGCCATGAGAGAAATCCCAATAGGGAAGATGGCTATGTTGGTTCACACAAAACAAAAAACAGGTTTAGGAGAGAAGAGTGAAATTAAGAGTAGCCAGTGAATTGGGAAAGGCTCCACCCAGCCAAGCGCAGTGTGCAGGGGGCTGGTGTCCTAGGAAGTGGGTACCAGAAGCTCTCAGCAGGACGCCGGGACTGCAGGAGGTCAACACGGACTGCACAGGGAGGGAAACCACCAAGTCGGAGAATGATGCTGTGATCAGAGAGGTAACATACCATTCTTAACTGAATTAGAATTTTTCCCCAAGAAATGCCAAATGCTGATGGGGATGAAGTACATTATAGTAGAGTATAAATTAGTATCGCAGAGGTGTGTCGGGAGCCTTAAATATGCAGGCCTTAGATACTCAGCACCACTAACTGTGAGGGAGATGCAAACTGAAACCAGACAGCGCCCTGGTTAAAATGTCCCAGTACTCCAGGACTGTGGCTCACTTTCCCATCATGGGACATACAAGAGTCCACCTATGAATACATAAACAAGTGGAACAACAAATCAATGCTTATCTCCCCCTGCTAAAATTACCGATTTAATTACTATTAAAAACATTAAAAAAAAACAACAACAACATAGTGAGGTACCACTTCACACCCATTAGCATGGCCGCTATCGAATTACCCTGGCTGGTCTAGCTCAGTGGATTGAGCTCGGGACTGCAAACCAGAGGATCGCAGTGGTTCGATTCCCAGTCAGGACACATGCCTGGGTTGTGGGCCAGTTCCCAGCGGGGGACACATGAGAGGCAACTGTACATTGATATTATGATTTATCTTTAACGAGGCCCTCGAATTTGCAGAGACAGAAAGCGGACTGCCTGGCGGCAGGGCGGGGGAGAGGGAACGGAGAGCCGGGCTGCTCAGCGGGGCCGAGCTTCAGTAAGGCGGAGAGACGGCTCCGCCGCGGCTCCAGGTTGGCGCTCAACGCGCCTGCGCGGTGCGCTTTAGAGCGGACAAGAGGGTGGATTTTATGTTTTGTGTGCTTTTCTACAGCTTCAAATTTTTAAGTTAATCCAAAAAACCAAATGCCTTAAGCCAATACT